TATGGTTCTAACTACCTATCTTTATGTGCCAATAATACAAATATCTTATCTATATCATGTTATAATTAATCCTCTTTTATTAATAGAAAATATCCTCATTTTACTCCCAATGGTATCTCTAAATTATCTTTTGGCAATGGATGAAGTTTTGTGTAAGTTCCCACTTTGCATCATGGATAGAATACCCTTTTTAAAGAATTTTGTATTAAAGTTGAGGACGTCCACTGCCACAAGAAGGTAGCAATGCTCCAAAATTTTGTCCACTTTATATTCTTGTTCGTAATCAACTACAATTGATAGTGGTGGTGATTGGTGTTGATTTGAAAAGTGCTTAGGCTTTATATGAAATTCCATCAATTGTAAAATATGGAAGATTGGATGGACCCAAATATATCGCAAAAACTTGAGGCAGAATACGACATCAAAAATCACTATAGAAATACGGAAAGGTCCAAGCCATTAAAGTACTAGTTTATGGTTTGAATTGATGTACCAAGTGGTAAGTTGGTATTAGAAAGTAAGACTTGAACACTCTTCCAAAAGGTCTTGTATTACCGATGGTTATCTGCATACTACTTCTATTGATTCTATGCCGTAAAGAGGTAGTATAGTGCCTCTTGTAAGGCCATCGTAAGCCATCATATAAATTCCTTTGTTGTCAGATTGTTGGTGTTCATAGAACCATAGAGAGTTGTTGGCATAATTAGATGCTGACTAGTATTAAGAAAAAATAGTGAATGACCAATATTTACTTGAATACTATGATTATAAACAAACTCCAAAGGCATCAAGAACTCATCTTAATCATTATGATAAATCACCACAAATGTCCACATCATATCTTCTAGGGTCTGATTTGTACGCTTTATTTGTCTATTTATTAAGAGATGGAAGGTTGTAGATATGGCAAGTTGTGTACTTAATAGCTTAAACAAGGCTTGCCAAAAACTTTTTATGAGGCGTGGATCATGATCTAAAATAATGACATGAGATAATCCATAGTAACAAAAGATAATATCAAAGAAGAGTCGTGCAAGTGCTAGGACATTAATATCTAAGTATACCTTAGCCAAATGAAGTTGCTTCGAGAGTCAATCTACAAAGATAGCAACTGTGGTATGATTATGAAGTGCCTGCGGCAAACATGTAATGAGATCTATAGTCACATCCTTCCAACATGCCGTAGATAGCAAAATTAGCTGCAATAGTTCAAGAAATGCTGTGTTGCGTGCTTTATTACGTTGACATGATTCGCAAGAATATATAAAAGCTTAAGTATTACAATCCAAACTTACTCAAATCTCTGTCCTTGAGATCCGTTCTATAGTCTTTTCTCACCCCAAATGTCCAAATATTGGGATGTTATGTCCCTCTTTAAGTATGTACATTTATAATATAGCATTGTCAGGTATATAAATTTGATTTTAAAAATAGATTTAGCCATCTCTAAGACTATAATCTTAATGTTATATATCACCGTCTTTTAATCAATCATCTTAAAATAAGCATCTCTATACATAGCTTCCTTCCATTCTTCCTCTTTGGTTAGGTTTGAAATGACAATACTAATAGTAGCAACTTCTACCTTAACTCCCGATTTGTCTTCCAAGTCTAGTCTCCATGATAAGCTATCTGATACAATATATTGTCGCCTTTGGTTATACTTAAGTTTGATATAAAAAAGCTGCAATTGTTCTTTCCAACAATAATGTCGTGATTTCATATTTTTCATATACAAATTATATAGGAAGGATCAATGATTAGTCAGAATAACCATTAGCTCCCCTAACAAACAATATTGTTATAGCTTTGTGGCAAGTGTACTCACTAATTATTCTCAATCACATATAAAATAATTATGCTCTACCTTTTTGAGCTTGCATGATTAATATACAACAAATTGAAGGCCCTTACCAAAATCTTATTGAAGGACTGTTCTAATAGCAAAGTCAAAAGCATCAATGTCAAACATACAAGAAAGGTTGAGATCATATGGTTGCAATATTGGAGTAGTAATGAGTGTCTCCTTCAACAAATCAAAGGTGCTTTGCTATTTTAATTTCCCCTCAAATAGAGCATCCTTCACCAATAGGTTTGTTAATGAGGCGACAATGTGTGCAAATCGCCAAAAAAAATGGCAATAATATCCAACAAGGCCTAAAAATGAGCATACTTCAAAAGCATCCTTAGAGGTTAGCTAATCTTTTAGTACTTTCACCTTATCTTGTTCCATACGCGTATCTTTGAAGGACACCACATGCCTCAAAAAGGTGACTTTTGACTTTCAAAGTTCACATTTTGATTGCTTGTAATAGAAGTAACTATCTTATAGTTGACGTAGCACTTCTTATACGTGTTGCTTATATTCTTCAAAGATTTTACTATATAAAAGGATATTTTAAATGAAGATAATTACATACTTGTCCAAAAGGTCCTAAAACAATCTGTTCATGTGACTCATGAAAGAAGCCACAGCATTAGTAAGGCCAAAAGGTAAAACCAATCATTTGAAATATCCATAGCGCATACAAAATGTTGTCTTTTTTATATCCTTTCTTGCAATAAGTGTCTGCCCATAGACACTTCAAAGATCTAATTTACTAAAGATGGTCGTACCTTAAAATTAGTTAAGAAGATCAACTATACATAAAAGTAGATATGCATTGTTAATATTTTACTTATTAAAACCTCGATAGTCAATGCAAAGACAAAGTCTACCATCTTTCTTGGGTGTAAAGAATATAAGTGCTTTCCATAGTGATGAGTTTTCTTGAATGATGATTTTTTCCAAGAGTTCAACCAATGTCTTTCGCAATTCTTTAAGTTCTTTTGGTGTTAGGCAATAAATAGGTTGAATTGTTGGTTTGGCTCCAAGCAATAGTTCTATTAAAAAAGGGGCACATCAATCAAAAGATATGCTACTAGATAGGTTAATTGAGAAGACATCTTGATATTTTCATATGAATTGATTTGCTCATTTTACTCCTTTGGTTGTCTTTTCTACTATTAATGCAAAATTTAAAACCATCATATATATATATATATATATATATATATATGTATGTATGTATGAATTGCTTATGCTATATTTGCTTCTTCATAAAGATTGCTCTTATGAGTAAGTCTTTGGTTGTACATTGTCTTTCTACTTCACTTAATGCAGAGGTGCAAAGAATCATCTTACATCTACTATCTTTAATCCTTGCTATGTAATCAACTTGCTTATTTTCCACCTCTATCCATGGCATTCTAAGGATAACATCATATCTTAGCTTTGTCACTTTAATTCTCCCTCTTAAGACATAAGTATCAATTAATTTGAAGGTTTCTTCTTCACATATCTCACTCAATACGTTCTCTTGGTCATCTACAACGTATATTGTTCCTCCCTTGATTGTCTTAGTTTTAATTCCAAGTTGGTTAGCAATTTTACTTGAGATGCAATTTTTTGTAGAGCCACAATCTACAAGCATTCAACATGATTGTCTTCTTAGTACTCCCATTAGATGCATTAGTCAACTTTTTTTATAATTGTCTGAAGCAATGCCATTTGTCTTTGAGAAAAAGTAGTTATTTTCAATACTAGCCCTTGATACTTTTACTAGGGAGCCTTGTTTTCCTACTCTATCTCATTATTGACTTGGTGGGTTTTGAAATTATAAACTCACTTTATTTTGCTAGTGCTTGAATTTGACGTTTTGCACAACTTCCAATCTAATGGCCTTATTCCTGACAATAAAAATATAATCCCTTTTGTACCAATATTTGTGGTCTTTGTGGTATCAATGATCCTTGTAAAGCATCAATCTCCATTGCCGTTGATTATTGTGCCATAACTATTAGATAGCAGCATAAGACTTTGTGCTATAAGTAATGCTCTATGATTATTGAAATCTATAGCATTGACTTTCTTTGCAATTCAAATTACATCTTTGAATGTTTGTGGATCTATTAGTTCTAGCTCTCACAAGATTTCAAATTTCAAACCTTGTAGAAATCAATCCATCATCTTTGCTTCCAAAACATTGTCAATTTGGAGACATAGGGATTTGAATCACAAGACATAATCTTCCACCAACCTAGATTGTGTAAGATTTATCAGCTGATTGCATGCTATCTTCTCTACATTAATGGGCAAAAATTGATTCCTAAACTCGATATCAAATTCCTTCCAATCACAAAATCCACTATAAGTTCCATAGCTTTGAAGTCAATGTTATCACTAAATGGCTATCGCATTTGTCAAATAACTAGATGAATAAATAATTTTTTAGTAGTATTTACCTTAGATAGTTAGAAATATTGTCGCATGTTAAAGATCCATTGATATACATCTTCTTGTCTTGAAGTTCTATAGTATGTAGTAAGCTTTCTCAATTTCAACCTAATAGATGTTGACTCTCCATACACAAGGCCTAATAAGACTTCTACTTGCCCTTGGAAGGTAAATATCTAATTTAAGAGGTGTTGTATTTGAGCTTCTATGAGAGATTGCTCCACCATATCTCTCATGCTTTAATTTCATTGTTGGACTCTACTATTATATCTTCTCATCTTCCAGTTCACTTTTTAAGAATAGTTTGTGGTAGCCTCAATATGATACCCACTTAGACCACAACAATTGACCTTGAATTAAATGATGACTTTTGACACACTACCAAAGAATAGTCTAATACTTATTTTGATATCAATGAAATAAAACTAATCTATTTCAAGTGTTCAAAATCCTTCTAATTCACATCAACATAAAACTTCATTATAAGATAAGATAAACTATATCAAAAGAAAAAAAACTAAACAACAAAAAACAATATAAACACAAAATTCAATACTAAGAAACCAAAGTAACAAAATAAAATAAAACAAAAAGATACAAAATCCAATTGTATTAAGAAAAAATATTTGATGCTATACTTAACCAGATGACTCAAAAGGCCCAAGTTAGTCTTATTCATACTTTATAAATCACCTTGAACTCTCTAAAATGTTCATATATGATAGATTCCAATTAAATAACCACCTTAAATTCTTATTAGAGGTTTCTACAATGGGCCCCATCTACACAACCTCCCTCAATTTTCTCTTGAAGGTTCTATAATAAATCCTATTTAGATAATAATCTTAAATTATTTTAAATATATACCAAGGTGGATCCTATCTAATCCACTAACCTAACCCTAATTATAGAAATTTCCAAAACTTCTCAAATATAGTTCAAAGTACCTATCCCTATATATTAACAATACAAATATCTTATCTACATACTGACCACACTTTGTATGCACACACTACTCTCTAGCACATGATCAATTATATGATCAATTATATGTGCAAGATTTGTATGTACTATATTCCATAACTCTCACGTCTTCCCTTCGTCATGTCAGCTGCATAACTGAGTTCGAAGCTACTTCACATGATAAAAAGAGCAAAAAAAGAGACATCGATTACTTCCATAATTTTTCACATTTTCACTATTCGTCGAGTAACCCCACTGTTAACAAGTCCACCATATTCATGACCAGAAATGCCCATTTGTTCGATTCCTCTACATGCCATTGATAGTCAGAACTATTTCATGGCTTCGGTAGTGGCTTCTAATTCTGCGAAGACATGACACATGAAAAGATTAAAGTCCAACACAAATGCAACGTGGTATTTGCATGTCTGTTCTAATTCTGCGAAGACATGACACATGAAAAGGTTAAAGTCCAACACAAATGCAACGTGGTATTTGCATGTCTGAACTTGCATAACAAACCCTGTAGCAAAGATAGCATCACACAAAGCATCTACTTATAAAATGGAATGAACGAGTTCATCAACAAATCTCAGAGACCATGCAAACACAACTGCATGATTAAAAGATTCACAAATTGATTTAAAAGCAGGCTTAGGACAAGACACTAAAAGTTTGAAAAGAATCCATGCCCAATAGTACAATAGATCACTAATGACCATTTTATTACTTGCGAAGTCTGAGGAGCTTTGGCCAGAAAGTGCTGCTTACAAGTTCCAAATTGTCTAAAACATGCCTTGGTGCAGATTCACATAGAGGTTCCTAGCTTCATCAGCAAACCAAATCAATTGGCCAATCTTTTGATAAGATTTTATGATGAGCGTGTCGGTCACACTAGTGCCATTTGATGTTTATTCACCAAGGATCCTTGGTCGTTGCAAAACCTTCGGCTGGAGCTGTGCGGGCCTGCGCAGGAGTACCCTTACCTTGAAAAGAACCTGGACTCTTTCTAGTGCTAGAAGCAACACAATCCACTCCCATGAGAGCTGCAAATTTCTCTTTAACCAGGACCAAGGGGTGCTTGTCAATTAGACAATATTCCTTACGCTGACCACGTATATGAATTTCCTGAAAAGCCCTTCTCAGAAACACAGTGTCACGAGAACCTTTTCTGGAAACGTAGAAGTGCTCAGGATGACGGATTAGCATACCATGTAACTGAGACAACAACAAAGGCATCTTCATCAGTGAACTTAGACAATTGCCTCGGTATTTACTGCTCTGCCACCTATAATTTTGCAGCAGACCTGTACCTAAAGTATGATATACAAGTCTCAGAGTTTACAACTTAATACTTGTCCTTGTCTTTGCATAGGGCATTGACATCATGTTTTGGCCAAGAGAACAAGGATTCACACGGAAATAAGACGACATACCTTTTTCGAAAATTTGAACTCGTTGCGGAAGTGTGTAAGCTGGTCCACTAATAGCCGCTTCTCTAAGGTGAGAGACAAAAGCTCTTGAACAAGAAGTACTGCGCGTTTCTCGAACAGAAAAGATCGAGGATGAAGATGGTTTGCATCCTGATACGGTGAGGGACAATCAACTTCGTCAAACTTTGAGAGTCGGGATCCTTTCGAACTGCTGGATTCCAAAATTTGAACAGAATCTGCAACATACTCTCAAAGTTCGACTGATGATAAGCTTTGTAGGTGTAAAAAAATTGTAGGGAACAGATATCAGAAAAATGGATTGAAGTTAATGCTCAAAATTGCGTAAGCAACACATCCAAATCGGCGGTACTTAAGGCAGGAAGCAAGACACTCACCACGTCCGGATTCTTTAGCTTTTAACTCAACTTCTGTAAAAGCCAGACGAGCGCTCCATCTAACGAGCTCCAGTTTAGGACCTTCAGAATCAAGAGTACATTTACTTCCTACAACGCGAAAATAGTTTGGATACTCATTCACAAAACTTTTCCTGAAATCATCAGGAAGACCTAAATCTCGCCCAAGGTGAGCAATTTTTGATAATAAGAGCGTCCTATCACTTGACATCATTAGAAGCTTCTGCAGCTTTATGACAACCTCGCTGCTCATTCCTTTTCGTACTTCCAATTCCTCTACAAAGGCAGCTTCTGCTTCTGGTGTAAACTGAAACCAAGGTAGATTTCCAAATCCCGCAGTCTCGTGAACTACAAAAACACCCGGGTAACGTTTTAAGAATGCGACAAGACGCCCATTTCCCTTGAACCCTAAATCTTCCTTGTTCTTGCCCAGGTCCAATATAGTCATGGATCGGCTCGGCTCAGCTCCTAGGAGGTCCTTGATACACAAAACAATCTTAAGAAGCTTATCTTTCTCGATAATGTCATCAAAGCAACGATCTTTCAAATGCTTAATACTTGAGCCAGTTCGACAGGTACGATCTAATGGCTGCTTCCTAACTTTGTTAGAAGCCTCTCCTGGGCGTCCTGCTCCAATTCCTTTGTCTAGGTCTCGTGCCCAGCAATTTGTATTCAATGATCTCCAACAGCGCCGCAAGCCTACTCTAAAAGATTCAACAACGCAGTCACCCCTGTAAGCGTCGGAATTACTATAATTCATACCGAATTGAGGAACCCACAACCTCAGAGTAGAAAATTGTCGTAAGAATTTCCTACGTGCACCATGTTCCAATTGCTCGTGAACAAAGACCTGAGCGTTCATAAAATGATGAACATTTACCTTGCCCTCTGTTGAAACACGCTCTCTTCGTGATCTGTGCAAGAAGAGGAAGAAAGCTTGAATGAACAAGTTGAACGGGGATTGCAGCAAAAGTGCAGACCTTGTGGGAGACAGGGCATCTGAAATCCCCTGTCCAATTGGCCGTGTCACATTTGGAGCACGCCTACAAAGCCAACCCAATGCCATAGGCGCTGCAGTTCACCCGTCCCTGGTATCACTCTGGCACCAAGTCCAGTCCGAGAACACGTTGGGCATATCTCACGCTCCGGCGTCACACACCATCAAAGCTCAAGAGGCAAGTGTGAGCAACTGAATGCAGCCAACCCAATTCATGAGAAGGAGGTCGGCATAGAGAGGAGATTTGAAGGATATGGACATCGTCCATGTGGACGTAGGGGATCTGGAAATATCCTGAAATGGACGTGGTGTGGAGTTAGTGAGTTGGAGTTAGTGAGATAGTTGCCACTAACTCCAACTCACTAATTCTGTCTCTCATATTCTCTCTCTGGATTCCTAAAAAGCTCTCTCACCAGCGATCCCTCAATATCTCATTTAGTATGTGTGTGTGTGAGAGTTGTGTGCCCGTCCCTCACACTCCCTCGCTCGTTTACTCACGCGGTGTCCGTGTGTGTGAGTGGCACTCCCTCACACTCCCCTCTTACCCGCTCTGTGTGTGCGTGCTGCTTCCTCACACGTCCTCGCTCACTTACTGATGTGGTGTCCGTGTGTGTGAGTGGCACTCCCTCACACTCCCCTCTTACCCGCTCTGTGTGTGCGTGCTGCTTCCTACACGTCCTCGCTCACATACCCACGCGGTGTCTGTGTGTGTGTGTGGCACTCCCTCACACTCCCCTCTTACCCGCTCTTTGTGTGCTTGGTACTTCCTCACACGCCCTCGCTCACTTACTCACGCTGTCTGTGTGTGTGTGGCACTCCTTCACACTATCGCACTCGCTCTGTCTGTCTGTCTGTGTCACTTCCTCACACAAACACTCATTCTAGTCAAGCCTGGCTGCTAGACTACCATTGCCCCTCTTTGTGCTTTGGGTGGAACCTTGCTTGGGATCATCGGAACATCGCGCACAGCCCGCAGTGGGTGGCAAAGCATGGGGCTCATCAGCGGCATCATCGGGTTCTCGGTGCGCCTTTTCAGTGGCGTGATGCAGCTTCTCGGCGCAATCATTCACTTACTCTTGTAAACCTCTTTTCTTTCCTTTTTATCGATTCATGGTTACTATTAGGGTTTACTGTGATAGGATATCCTTTTTTCGATTCATGGCTACTATTAGGGTTTACTGTGATAGGGTTTCCTTTTTTCGATTCATGGCTACTATTAGGGTTTACTGTGATAGGGTTTCCTTTTTTCGATTCATGGCTACTATTAGGGTTTACTGTGATAGGGTCCAGGTTTGCAAGTTGACAGTTTGTGTGTGTGTGCGGATGTTCAGTATCAGCGATGGCGTTGATGGGACTACTTCTTCTCAATCTGTCGGCGAGGACGGAAACGACTCAAGTCAGCAGAGTACTTCGTCTGTCACTAGTTTCGAGACGCCCACAACAGAACTAAATGAGACCACAGCCAACTTTGGAGCCGGTGAGATCACCGTTCAGCCCTCCGACGGTTCTGGCAATTCGGAGATCCCACTTGTCCCTTTTGATGAGGAGGCGTCGGTAGAAGGGGGGGAGGTTGTCAGTGGAAGTGTTGAGGCGGATGCCATTGTGCAGCGAGGTGCTGATGAACATCCGGATGCTCTTCCGCAGCCAGACCTACAAGCAGTTGCTGCTGTTCTCCCGCAGCCAGCCCTGGCACCGGATGCTGTCGTTTTTGCAGATGTGGATGACGCACTTAGTAAAGTGAATCCTTCCCTGGCAGAATACCTCCGGAACATGGACTATTTTCCGGAACTGAAAAATGATGCAGTTAATGAGTAGCGACCATGACTATGTGGTGGTTGCACCAGTGGCCATGGTTGCAGTTTCACCAGGTGCTGTTGATCGTCTGCAGCCAGCCCTGGCACCAGTTGCTGTTGCTGATGCACTCGCGTTTAACCTATTTTGTACGGGGACTCCCACTCAGGCTGGATACTCCTGGTCATGAAGTCTTTTCCGAAGCTGGAAAATGATGTAGTTTTCCAGCGGCGACCATGACCAGACGGCTGCAATAGTAGCCATGATATCAATTGAAATGTCAGATCAGGTGGATTCCCAGTTGGCCATTGTGTTTGTAATGGATTTGGATGAAGCATACATCAACAGGCAAGGAATATACCTAGATTTCTTCTGAGCTTTGTTGTGGGTTATGGTGACAATTGAATAGTCGAACATTGTGACTGTAATGTTTCATATTGTGTGTGTAACTTATTGCCTGTGAACGAAGAGTTGGGTGTTTCTGAAATGATGAACATTTGCTTCGCACTCTGTTGCAACAAACTTCCCTCCTGATCCGTTCAAGAAAAGCAGAACATCCTGCATGACTTGAGTTAAATGAGGAAAAGCACCAGTGCAGACATTGTGGCAGACAAGGTATCTGCTACATTCTGTCTAACTGACCCTGTTACATTTAGAGCGCACTCAAAACCTTCCAATGGACATGTTATGGATGAAGAGCAGTAAAAAGTGGGTAACAAATAAGGTAACGCTTGAAGCGGAGAACGAAGTAGACACACCATTACAACTTCCCCTGCACATGTTGCGTCTGGAGCACGCCTACGAAGGACCGAATGGCATGGGCGCGGCAATTCTCTCGTCTCACAATTACCTTCGTCATCGACCTCTGCAATAAAGTACACATACAGCGATGATTGGGAACTGGCCATAACAAAGCCAGCACAGTTAACAATGGGTTCAAAACCAAGGCGATGCCTCCAGAAACAAAATGAAAATCTTATGAATGAGATGGTCGACGGCGTGTCGCCGTATGAACACTTCCCGCCCCAAGCATGTCGCTCTACTTCAAACAGATCAAAACAGAGGGTGGGGCTTCAACGAGATCGTGTTTCGGCATTTCATGGAAGAAGTGAAGCCCAGGTCTGTGATAGAGATAGCAAGTCTCCTCGGTACTTCATCGCTCCATCGCCAAGGAATTAAGGCTCCATACCAACATTGTTGGCATCGATGATTTCCGTGGGTGGCGCGGCTTCCGGGGAGGTGAGTTCGCCGACATCAAGAAGCGGCATGGAAACTTGTTGCTCTTGAATCAATTCTTCCAGACTGTATTCATTGAATGTCGGTAAAAGATTTTTATTTTTGTTGGTACTGTTGAAATGTCAGATTGAAAATTCACTAAAAACAAAATTCAAAATTGTAAAATTTTTCCTAATTTCATCCTATCGCCTCCTTAAATTTGATCATTTTTATAAGGTTAAAATCGAATTGGTAAAGTTAAAATTAAAAACTATATAATTCATTCAAACATATGTACTTATAATTGAGATGTTATCGGATGTAGGGCCAATGTTATTGCAATTATTATTACAAAAGATATGCTTTAAGTGCATAGGAAGTTTTACAGCAACATTTATTTGAAAAAGGGATCGAAAAAGTGCACATATATATTTTTTACATGAAAATAGAAGAATTAATATTTGTCATTTATTTTAGATATATATATTTTTAAAATAGAATCAAGCTACAAATAATTAGCAAACATATATAAATATAAATATATATTGGGGAATGATATAGAGATTTAAATATTTACTAAAATGACCCGATCCATCTTAACTATCGTTGCATCCTTACAACCCCTATCTTTATTCCTAGGTCTCTTCATTCCCAATTTTTGCTAACGGGGGCCACAGTTGGGAACAAGGGAAGAAAATGGGAATGTGGTTTAAAGGGTACAATGATGGTTTAAACTTGTGGGTCGATTTAGTAACAATTCGGGTCGCTTTATCTTTTCTCTCTCTCTCTCTCTCGATATATATATATATATATACACAACAATTTCCCACAAACACAAACTTCGGGCAAGGGCAATAAACATTCACAACATGCAAACCCCATACTGTCTGTCTTTCTGAGATTTATAACTTTTAATGTGTGAAGGGAGCAAAGGACAGTCCAGAGATGAAGGGGAAGAATATGGGGGGCCAAAAAAGAACAGGAGCATAAGAGATTAGGGGTGCGTAATTCATGAAGCAAACACAAAGAAGCCTGCCCGCACTAGAAAAGGGCAGGCCCCCCTTAATTTATGAGCCTCCTCCTCCCCCCCCCCTCCCCCAACTTCGACAGGGTGGGCATTTCTTATGCCGGAGAGGAGAACATGTTACTCATCAGAACAGGCGTCGTCGCCAGCAACCCCAAGATTCCGGGGAGAACTGTCCACCAGGGGCAGCGGAAAGAAGGCCACGTGGGCGCCGTGGAGGGCCCCGGTCACCAAGGGGGCCTAGAGGCGCGACACCTGCCCCGCCAAGTGGAGCTCTCTTTGCTGGGCCAAGCTTTCCTGGCTGCCGTCGTTGATCCTCCCCCTTTCCTTCCCTCCCCCCTCCAACTGGATGCTTTGCTTTGCCGCTGCATGTACATACATGTACACACACACACATATATATATATATATATATATCCTACCTTAGGTATCCCTCCCACTTTTCACTCCACTTATCGCTTTCTTCTTCTTCTTCTTGTTCCTGCTTTTCCTTGACTTTCTTTGCTTCTTCTCCTCCTTCCTTAGATTTTCATTCTTCCTCTCGTATCCCTAGGGTGCGTGTTTTTATTTTCTGTCTAAGTTGTGCATATTTTTACGCTGCCAGTGAGCGGCGTATCTGTGATCCAATTTGAGGGGTTTTCTGAGAGGATTTGCATGGAGAGTATGTTCTTGTTAGTTTTATCTATAGTTGGTGTGGTATCTGTTTGATGCAACGAGGTCGAGGGAGTCGTGATCCTAGACATGGAGGTTTAGGAAATTAGTTTGTTGCGGAAGAACCAAACTTGACATGACTTGGGGCTGCAGGTAAGGGAAAATGGGTGGTGCTCAACTAGCTTATGTTATCGTCTACGTCCAGGATGTGAACAAGGCTGCTGACTTCTACAGCAAGGCCTTTGGTCTTCAAATTCGACCCCAGAACAAGACTAACTCGTAAGTAGAATCTGGCCTGAACCTTTGACAGGGTAATTTGAATATTGATTCAAGGCGGAGTTTATTTAACTCCTTATTGATTTAATTTTTTCTTTAGAGGACAGTGTATGGCAACCTTCAAGATGTCTTAGTCCCCGTTTCATGTGAAGTCAGTACTCTCAGGTTTTAACGCTCTATTCTGAGTTTGCACCATCTTAAAAATCGTTGATAATGCTGTCTACTGTCATTTGCACCCAGATGGGTTGAAATGGAAACTGGAACCACGACATTAGCATTCACTCCTGCGAAGCAACGCGAGGCTCAACTGATCGGAGGTGTGTCTTCTTCGGATGAAGGTCATCACAATGTGGAGATTTGCCTAGATTTCCCGGACGTGGAAAGAGCATACAAGGTGCACTTAAAAGCTGTATTTTGTGACTTACACACATCCGTGTTTACAATATTTTGTCATAACATTATAAGATGACCGCATTCAAACGGCTACAGAAAACAAATTCCGAAGTAACTGATAAATTGTCTTATCTAAGGTTATTCATTTTTATTTTAGGAAAGTAAGTTTGAACCAAGCATACTGTTGATGGAGAGTTCTATAACTGGGTTTCTTCTGACGAATAACTGTGAAAATGCAGCATGCGATAGATCAAGGAGCATCACCTGTGGCTGGGCCCGAGGACAAGGTCTGGCAGCAGAAAGTATGCTACGTGAAGGATATTAATGGGAACGTCGTCCGTTTAGGTTCCTTTGTTGCCAAGTAGAGTTCAGATTACGACAAGCGTTGAGCAATCCTTAAACAAGAGAACTCCATCAGCAGAGCAACTTCCTTCGTGTGAACTTGAGCATATTAATGTACAGAAGATGGAACTTCTGGTGAACCTACCGGGGTACCTTGTTATGTCTGTACAAATCAGTTTGGACATAAACAGTTTGAACGTGAAGAGTTTCCTTCTGATTTATATGTGCATGTCTATCCTTGCAAAAGATGTATCAGATTGAGCTGTTAATATGGCCTTGTAAATTTGTTTCATTGAAATGTTAGGTTTTTATGTGATTTGTGTTCCTCTGCCACCGGAGAGTTGTGGTTACAAGTTAACCACATTCGTGCTCACTACGTTGCATACAGTTGTAATGCTTAGATTCAGCTTGCATGAATTGATTAAGCATTGAAAACCACACCTGGGGAACCAAATATCACCCTTTGACAAGATCAAAATAATTACACAACATTTTCAGACAACTATAACCATTCCATCAATGTCACACCCATACAAACCGAAATCTAAACTAAATAAACTGTACCAAATTAATTTCTGCGTCGTAAACCTAAACATTTCTAGTAAGTTACGAGTAGAGAAGAACTATGTCAACAATAATTCGCTTCTCATGCGATTACTCTTCCAACCTTCTTGTTTCTGCAACAGAATGATCAGACTTAAACGTTCCAACTCTTATATACAAAAATTTATCAAAAATTCCAAGGGGATCGGACCTCATGTTTGTAAACATCTAACTACTTTCAATTTCCAAACCATTTCTGATATACCGCACTTGCACTATTCCCACAAAAAATAATCGCCTCAACAACCAAAAGCTACACGCGGTAAGACCCATTCCAACTACCAGCAAAACCCTCTTCTGCAATAAATATTGAATATTTTAGCAATATTTACTATCTATATCTATATTGTGATTAAATAACAAGTCAACTACGTTGGTGGTTTTCTAGGTTGCTTTTCAATACGTAAAGCGTGTTCAACAAAAATCTCACTGGTGAAATCTAAATAAACAGCACGCGTGCAGCACAAACCCCTTGTAGATCTGATGGCCTGGCATGGCACTGAGGACAGGTTGAGTTGGATAGATCCCTCCATGATACACATCCCTTCGCCAGACAACTACCTGAGATAATAAAAAGAAAAAAGAGAACCATTGAAAGTTAATCGATAGACAATACATTTAACAAATGTATAAATTAGGTTGTAAATATGCAGAAGCTGAGTCACTATGCAAAAAAGAAAGACAAAAAAGGATTCATGTTAACCAATCGACCTACACGATTTAAATAGTAAAACTTATCAACCGTATCAACTACAAAGTCCTCCAGGATATTATCAAGATGCGAATGAGCCTCACCTGTTTAAGTGGTCGATTGGCTGTCAGTATTATCAAGACCAACAATAGGGTGTTTGCCCAGCCAATCCCTGACTTCCTGCGATGTTACAACGGGGTACTGCATCCAAGCCAAGACCTCAGAAAGTAAGAGTGGGAAATAACGGCATTTACAACATCAAGTCAGTTATTCGGCAACACAAAACAAAAGAATAATTGAATGCAACGAAATAAAATAAAACAAAGAATAATTGAATGCCGTAGCCTTAAGACGTAATTGAAGGTTACCACTACGGAAGCGATATACTAACCTCCAACATGTCTGGAGGAGTGTCCAGCACGAGAGTATCCAATGCAGGATCAACACCATTTCGGTCTCCTTCAACACCTCTGAAAGGTTCGTCCTCCACGCTGCAACCAACATCGTACGAAAGGCTTCGGAAGTTGAAGTCCTCGTATTCCGCATCCTGCATGTTACATCCACAGACAAATGAATGGAAAATGGCATAAAAAGTCTCCGTTCAGCAGCCAGAGTTGCATGCAACGCATCAAAATGCATCATCAAATTAAATGTCACTACAAACCTCCGCTAAGGGGTCACCGTTGAGATGTTCGTCACAGAGTAGACTCATGACAGAGGGGTCCTCATTCTTTGTTGCTTCCACAGAATGATCAAGACCCCAAGACTCATGCTCCTCATTTAGGTTGACCGCTTGAAAGGACTGGTCTTCTCCTTCGGAGAACAGTTGCCCAGAAAGTCCTGCATTGATGTGTTTTGTTTGATTGCCATCATACATAGCAGCTCCCAATGTTCCCAGCGCTACGTCTCCAAGCTCGTACACTACATAACCAGTAGCTTCTAGGTTCATGTCCACACCAATGTCCTCACCAACACCCTCCTTGTCGTTACATTGATCCATGTGACTCTGAACCTGTGCATTTCAAGTTGCTTTTTAAGTTCTTAAAAGCATCACTATTAGACAGGAAATCAACAGCGCAAGGGAACGATAAAAGTAGAACCCAGAAACCTGCAAATGTGCTCTAGAGAGCAGTTACAATTACAATTTTTTAGTTTAATAACAATATAGAATAGAATAGTCAAAGCACAGTACTTACGAAAAACACCTCTCTGCTTGGACTGAGTGGCAAGAAGCTGAGGATCAAAAATTTCGGATCTCGACTCGGTTGGCTCAGCATAGAGCTGCTTTGCAGTGCGTGACGGTGGGCACGATCTCGGGGTCAATGGGGGCCGTCCTCTTGTCACCACTGAAACAGATGGTGAATCGCCAGACAATCCAGGCGCCTGGAATCCTATGTCACTTTCTGACGGTTCACCCTCTACATCATCCACAGCTGAAGCCTCCGTTCTACGACTAGGACAGCTTCGAGGTGCTTTTTGAAAGAAAACTTTGCACACAACAAGCTCTCCATCCGTTTCTTCTTCGTTAGAACCCAAATGGTATTGGTGCATCACCCAGTTGGTCTTCATGTTCTTTGATTTCTTACCCGTAGCTCTGTACAAAACCATGATCTTCTTGTGTCCCAAAACCTTTCCACCCTGAAGAAGAATTAGACATGGTTCAAGACTTATTAGCTCGTAATAACCATGCACACAAATATAACCACAGTTGACACTTAAAACTCAGCATGCTCATTTCACATGTCTAGTATCAGTCAATACCATTCCTAATTTCTAGATCCAAATCCATACAGAAGAACTAGTGAATGACAAGAAGTAAACCTGAGACACAGGTCGAGTTTTGCCTGTTTTGTGCCAACGAACATCGGCACCACCGTCTGGAATATCGTCAGTCTGGATTTTTCGCCTCTTACGTGTACCAGTGGTGTATGCCATAGAAGGTCGATGAAAATAATGACAGCTGCTCCCGTCTTTCTTGACCCCTGATTACACGAGAAGGGTATATTTAGAAAGGCTTCACGACATCATCAAAACTCGACCTTAATGTTAATCCTTAATGCTAAAGATCAGGACTGGAATAAAAACCGTAAACAGAGTTGGCAATTGTCCTGCAATTGGAGGGAGGAAAACACATCACAGCACATCCACACCTGGCAAATTCTCAGGATGAGTCCGACAAATTCCATCTTCCTCCTCTAGCGTATGTATGAATTCGTCAAGCAAAGGATGAGGCTTTTTCGAGCCGCGACCAATTTTAGCTGCTAAATGGTCCAGCAACTCTTCGTCACTAGGGTCAAATCGCACTCCCGCTGGCAAACTATCCAACTTCGCCTGCTATGACAACTTGCACTATAAAACATCACACGAATACTCACAGCAAGATACTTTGCATGCATTAACTTAATTGTTGTCATTTGGCCACCTAAATTGAATTGCTCAGAAAATTTATTTCTTTGAAAAGAAAAAAGGAACTATGTACGCTATGCATGTCATAAATCTTACTCATTACAGAAACTGAAGAGAACACATTCCAAGGATTTTCAAAAAACAGTTTTTGATGCATGTGAGATGGCAAATGATTCATAGGATGCATACATGAGCGGCCGCATTGTAATCGCAGCACGACTTAGATTGACAGAGTGCCCTTTTGCCTGTCACCCTGTTCAACAAACAGATTCAGGACAAGTGAAGGCAGGTGTTAGAATACATGTAAATATAATCAAGGAAAAGGAACGATGTGTTCGGTAGACTACCTCAGTTTGCTTCGCCCGACCACAAATGAGTACCACAAAAATAGTCTGAAGACGATTATAGCGACGAATTAAAGTATCATGCCTAAAACTCTTCAATAATTTTAAAAAGAGTGATTCGAACTGCAGGAACAGAAAAATGAGTATGACATGTAAGAAAAG